TAAAAAGAGAGATGATAATAACACATTCAGTTTTATACATGTGCTGGTAGCATATGACTGAATGTTAATATAAAAGGAATTCAGAATACATATGAGATGCAAATGATCAACCTGGATAGATAATAAAACAATTTGATGGAGAGACTGGAATATAATATATTTATTCTATTACACAGATCCAGGAAATCAAAAACATTACCTGGACAGTGAACTACCCCTGGTCTATTATTTCTACCCAGAATAATTTCCACAATCTTATTCTTACAGCTACATTAAGAACCTGGACCAATTCTTTCTTTCTTTTTTTTTTAAATTTTATTGTGCTTTGGGTGTAAATTTACAAAGCAAATTTATTTTACATTCAACAGTTCATGCACATTTAATTTCATACCCTGATTACCATCCCCGACCATAACGAACTCTCCTCCTCTCCTGTCTCTGTGACTACCCCTGCCCCTGTGCCCTTCTTAATGATGAATTTGTGTCTGTTCAGCTTTCCCTCTATTTGAATGTTGTCCCTTTGGTGTCTCATGGCTCATTGCTCTAAGGAGTGCATCTTCCTAGAGTAAGTGAGTACATTGCTTTGGGGTAGGTGTTCTGTGTGTAGGTCTTTCTACTGTTGGGCTGAGAGCCAATCCACTGGGAGGGAGTGAGTCCATTTCTAGGCCTGAAGGGTAACCCAGGGCCATAGTCTCAGGGGTTCCACCAGACTCTATCCAACCAGTAATTCTGGTCATTTTTGTGTTTTTGAATTTTGTTCCACATTTTTCCTCCCATTCTATCCAGGATTTCCAGTTTTGATCCCTTTCCAAGTGGTTGTCATTGGTAGCCAGGCACCATCTAGTTCTTCTGGTCTCACAGTCATGAAGGCTGAGGTCTGGACCAATTCTTAATTATTTTTTCTCTTTTGAGTAATAAGGGTGATGGAAGACATCATGTCTACTTCACAGGAGAGTTATGAGGATTAAGGGACACAGTGACTGTGATAGATCATATAACTGATAAAACTCAGAATTAGTATAGGATATTATTGTGGATTATTATTGTTGCATTATCTGAAGATGATAATTGGATAATGTAGAATATTTACAGTCTCTTGATAGATTGCTGCATAAATTAATGACTTCCTGAAGGGCCCCTTGCTTTCCTTTTGTACAAAGCATGACTAAATTTATTACTCTGATATGGACAACTGAAAAATGCAGGTGAAATGCTGTTGTTGTTATATGCTATCGAGTCGGACCCAACTTACAGCGACCCCTCCTTGGGTTTCTGAGGCAGTATCACTATGGAAGTAGGTTGCCCAACCTTATATGCATTAGAGAGTAATTTCAACTTTGAAATTCTTTTTGAAGTAGAAAATCATGGAGTTATTTTCCTTGATATATTTTTGTTTGTTTTATTTGTTTTGAGAAAAAATGAAGGCAGCTATGACTCATTAAAGGCAAAGAAACAATGAGATGGTTAAAATAGTCCTTAGAGACTGATTTAGCAATAGCCAGCCTCTGGGAATGCCCCCAATTCCCATATACACACATGCACTTGCCTAATAGCTTCACAATACTATCTCATTTCCCCCACATGAGAATTTGGGGGTTTCTTTATAGCCCAGGAGCTACTCCCTCAGTCTTGGTACCCTCAGGGAATAACCATGTTTATGGACCTATGGAATCCTCCATGGTACGATAAAGGGAGGAGAGTTGGAGCAGCTAAGGAAATAAAAGTCCTTATAGGGATAGTGACAAAGGATTTGCCAGGTAAGATTTGGGCTGCCTAAGAACCCTCTTCCAGCTGAGGTTCCTCTCAGCAAACAGGTAAGTTTTAGAGTAAACTCAGAGAATAAAGTTGGTCCATCAACAGGATATTTTAAGATACCATCACTAAAGTTTCTAATCGGATCCCAACTACTCCTTTCTGTGTCTCCTCATTTCTCCCTGTGCATCTTTCTGCAACCCGAGTACCCTTGACCTTTTGTTCTTGCTTTCTTTCTCACTCATACTTGCTTTACGAAAAATATGTGAGAGCAGCTTTTTTAACCTCTCAGTGAATAGGTGACCATTTTCTAAGATATGGCTAGATATCTGATCCTCTATAGAGAACAGATTTCCTTGGAAGGTAGGGAACTCCCAGTTACCAGAACTAATGAAGGAAGAAGATAGGTGTCATCTATCCAATACTGTATGGGCATGTCTACATTGGTCAGACATTGGGACTTTAAAACCTCTTTCATGTAGAACTTTACATTGATTAGACTTTGGGAATTTTCTCATTGAAAACAGAATTTGGGGCACTACCATCAGATGAGGAGTGCGTATAGTTAATCTTTAGATCAGAAGGGTTTTTCTTCCCATTTCTACAGGTCTTCACTGCCCATCATACATTCAAGTAGAAGAAAGGGTAAATGTCTCCTTCTAAGGCCAGTCACAATCTTAGTCTATTATCCATAAATGGCTTAGAAACTTAAAAAAAAAAAAAAAAAAAAGGTTTAGAATACCTGGAAATTGCTACTTTTGTTTGTTTTGCTGATACTCATATGATATAAAAAATTTATTTTCCACTTGTTCCTTTAAGCTGGTATCTACAATGAAGTCACGTAGCTTGTGAGAGCCCCGGGGGGAGATACAGAACACTTAACCATATTTTAGGCACATATTCAATCTGTTTTCCTGGCCCCCAAGGATTTTGTGAGTAAAAAATGCAATTATAGATGTAAAAACTGTTAAGAAACTTTAAAAAATTTCTGCACACTTGCATTGTATTTGTTTATAAGAAAAGAGTGTTATTAGATTCCCAGAGGAGAATATTGACTTGATGAGGGGAAATAGACAGCAGAGGGTCAGAATAAGATAAAGTTTTCAAAGGAAGAACTTGAGGTCTAAGAGCCTAATCTTCAAGGGATAGACTTGGACACAATCACCTGTTTTCTAGATCCTCGGTACTATAGATAAAGAACAAAATCTGAGGATCCCTATCAAGGAGTAATGATCTTGGCCAAGAGATGGTATTTTGATTCGGTCTTCCCTAATTGAGCCCTCAAGATCTCATTGCACTCAGTTGTGATTTTCTGAAGCTTTTATTTATTTTTCCTCCCACTTATCCTCTAATCCTCTATTTTGCTGCTAACTACATATTTGACTCAGGGAAAGTTATTCTATTTTTCTATGCTTTAGTTTTTCATCAGTGAAATTTTAATTACATCAACTTTTACATCTGTTATTTTCCCTCATCCTCACTCTATATTATAATTATTTGAAAACTTAATAAACATTTTCTTTCTCAAAAATCACTAAAACACAAAAAACAATAGTTTATTGGAAAGACAGAAAATGTATGCTAACCAGCCAGCAAGACTACCTTTGATAAAAACAATTGAAGGAGATGGATGTTTTATATAATTAGAGAAAATTCCCTGGCTCAGGCAGAGGAAATCTGAACTAGAAGTTTTTTCAAAGAGGATCATCAAGGAGATTTCAAAAATAGCCATTGTTTTGAGTCATCATGACTGTGGGTCAGCTGGAGATGTATACATAGGCTGGAAGAGAAAGATAGTTTATCAATTCCAGAGAAGATGGTAAATTATTCAAAAATTACAAGGGATATAGAATAAAGTGTGATTCTTTGCTAATGGAAGAGTATCTTCAGTTTCACTTTCATCTTTTGCAAAGAACATTGGCAAACAAACAAACAAATATTATTTTATTCCATATAATTAATCATAATAAAATCATATATTTTGCTCTCTAAGCCCTTTATGTTTTTAATTCTCATACTAATCTTATGAACTAGGTACTAGTGTTGTCACCATATTACATATGAAGAGATGATACTTGAAATGAAGGGAACTAATTTAGTCAGAATGCTGTTAAGTGGAAGATCTGGAATCTGAACACAGTGGGAATCTAGAGTCCCTGCTCTTAACACCACTTTGCTTCTTACAGAGTTTTTATTTCAGTCAACTGATGAAGGCAATTGATGAATGTCTTAGGTTGAGAACTTTTCAAAAAAAGTATGCACTTCCCTTGCTCTCCAATAATTTCTAACGTCAAATGATCCAAACAAAAATAAATATAATTACTGGTGCTAGCAATTTGAGAACATCTTCCAGATCTTCACTGAGGCCTTTAGATTGACTCTTTCAATCAGAGTGTAACATGCCATTACAAATGATCACCATGCCTTAGCAGTGGAAGATTACCAGATGATCCTGGTCCTACAAAAGAATTCAGGTAAAACCTGCTTGTCTCCCTCTCACTTCCTTTTGGACAAGATGGCTTACTCTAAAAAATGATAGAATCCCTGTTGTATTTCCAAGGGAATGTAATCCTCTCCAGTTCTCTAACTAAGATTCCACTAGACTAGAGGTGAGAAATATATTTTCTGTGATTAGAAGTGGCTGTCTGAGGCTCTTGAATTGAAAATAATTCTGAGACCACATCTAGGCTCAGGGGAAATGAAGGAGGGTCATGATGGAGTAGAAGCATAGACATGTGCACTGGATATTTCTACCTCTGCCCTAGATACAAGATCTCTTGCACACTATGAGAGTGTGATGGGTGGGAATGGATGACTTCCTTGGGGTGGGTGGGTGAGAGGACTAAATAATTCATGTTTAATATTAAGTATGTCTTAGTTATGCCATTGGCTTCTGAATCAGCAGTTTTTAAAATATTGATTAGAAAGAGGGAGGAAAAGAAAGAAGCAGCAGAAGAAATTTTACTAATGGATTGTCACTATAGTGTGTTTTAAACTGAATATGACTTATTTGTACTTAGGTATGCCATTGTCCCCTATAGTAGATAACTCATCTTGGAATAGCATTTGAAGGACTCAGAGCTCTCTTACACTCCTTGACCCCATGTAAGTTTAAAATGGCTCTAAAATTAAAATGATACAAGGAAGTCACATTCTAATATATTGTTACTCTCTATCACTGTATCTTTAGGAAGGAGGCCATCAGGATCCTACTGGTTCCTTTCCCATGTCTATGTCACATTGGCTTCATGGCAGATTATAATCATTCCAACTTCCAACACCTTTATTTTACCTTAACTGGAATTCCAGGGCTTGAGCAAAAGTATTATTGGATGGCATGCCCACTGGGGGCTATATATGTCATTGCCCTTTTTGGCAATGGCATCATCATCTCTACCATTAAGTCTGAGTCATCACTGCATATTCCTATGTACTACTTTCTGTGTATGCTAGCATTGGCAGACATGGGACTTGCCCTATGTACTTTGCCCTCAGTGCTTGGCATATTCTGGTTTAACTACAAGTTCATTGCTTTTGATGCCTGCCTAGTCCAGATGTACTTCATCCACACTTTCTCAGCCATCGAGTCAGGTGTGCTGGTGGCCATGGCCTTTGATCGGGTTGTAGCAATCTGGAACCCTCTTAGGTACAGCACCATCCTGACCAACGGTGTGGTCTGTAGGACTGGAGCTGTCATTTTGATCAGAGCAATCTGTGTGGTCTTTCCGGTGCCTTTCCTCATCAAAAGGCTCCCTTTCTACCACTTCAACATCCTCTCTCACTCCTTCTGCCTCCATCAAGATGTCATGCGCCTCGCCTGTGCCAGCACTCGCGTCAACAGTCTGTATGGCCTCATTGCTGTCATCTTCACTAAAGGTTCTGACTCTCTCTCCATCCTCCTTTCCTATGTGTTCATACTTCGAACAGTAATGGCTATTGCCTCAGGGGAGGGGCAGCTGAAGGCACTCAACACTTGTGTTTCACACATATGTGCTGTACTCATCTTCTATGTGCCACTCATTGGAGTGTCTGCCATTCACCGTTTTGGAAAGCACCTTTCCCCACTGACTCATGCCCTCATGGCTGATGCATACCTTCTTGTACCCCCTGTGCTGAACCCTATAGTCTATACTGTGAAGACCAAGGAGATACGGAGGAAGATCATCCAGATATTTGTTCCAACCAAGGTGACTGTGGAGCATTAAGTTCAGCCAGTTTGAGAAGGGAAGCCTATTCTGTAAATGCTCAATTATGACTGTCAGAAATAAAAGTTTATATTTTTCGTATTTTCTGTGTGATTTAAATTGAACAGAGATAGTACACTTTCCCCATTCTGCACCAAATTGCCCTTTACCTGGTATAGAAAGAGTGGCATCTATAAGAACTTCTCAATGTGCCGTAGTCCCACATTTCTGCCTTAGTATAGAACAGCTGAAGTCAAGGAATACTATAGATTACATTTCTAATAACTCCTTTGAACAAAAATATACCATGTGTTTTATAACTCTTCAATTCAAGCTTGCTCAATTAATTTAATTTAACATCTCAGTTCATGAGTTAGGAGTATCTTCCATTAACGTAGTAGGGAAAAAAGATCTAAACTTATTAAATAGTAAGAGAACAACAGCTTATAAACATTATTGAAATAAAATATGAATCAGAAAAGCATCAAATTTTAGGATTAAGAGTATCAAACTATAGAAATGGTCAGGGGTCAGCCATGCTGTGCTGAGATCAGAAGACTGCAGGAGGAGTCTTAGCTCTTCCATGTGACACCTGTATGGCTGTCTTAGTCACAATTCCCTTATTTTAAAAATAGGACTAATATCACTTGACATCCAATATTGTTATGAATTAAATAGAACAATATAAGTAAATATTTTTTGTAAGCTATAAAGAGCTGGAAAACTATGATAAATGTTCAATATTATTGAATGTACAAGAATAAGCAAATGTGTATCAAAAAAAAAAAAAAAAAGAAAAAAGAAAAAAAACGACACATCGTGACCCCTGCTTGGGTTTCTGGAGCCTTATCACTACAGAAGTAGATCACTCAATCTTCCTTCCGAGAAGTGGCTTGTGGGTTTGAACTGCCAGCTTTCTGGTTAGCAGTCAAATGCCTTAGACATTATGCCACCAGAGTTCCTAATGTGTATAGATTATCCATTAAGTAAAACACAGAGCCAGCACATTTTATATTTTATCTTATTTGATGATTACAACATACTTATGAGAAAAATTGTTACACACTGCTTCTAGATGGAGACATTGAAGCACAAAGCAGTTGATTTGTTGGTCAAAGATCACCCAAGTAAATTTCCTATCGAATGTGGGGCACCCTAAATCATGGGCGATAGATAAATTAAGTAGACAGATAAGGAAGACACCCATAGTAGGTGTTCAGGAATTATTATGGGTTTTAGTTGAAGGCCAACAAGGTACAGGAAGTAGAAAGCAAAAGGCACACATGTAAAAATTGAGGTGCCTGTGTTCCTTTACATGGTCAGAATTACTTTTGGTAAAATATTCACTATTTGATAGCTAAAATCTAACACATTCTTTGCAACTTGGGTGGAGAATGTCATTATCTTAAACTCACACTGGTGGCTACTTTAAAGTTCATTAAGGTAGACTCAAGCTTAGCTAAGATTAATTCAGTAAACCCTCATGTACATGAAAATAATATTTCCATTTAAATACTTCTTCCATTTAAATACTGCTTTCATGTACATGAAGATTTAATTAATCTTAGACATGCTCATAAAAAATCAATATATATATATATATATATAGAGAGAGAGAGAGAGAGAGAGAGAGAGAGAGATTTTTTAAAAAATGCACTGCTGTCAAGTGGGATCTGACTCATAGCCATCCCTTCTTGGGTTTCTGAGGCAGTATCACTACGGAAGTAGATTGCCCCATCTTCCTTCTGAGGAGTGGCTGGTGGGTTTGAACACCAGTAACAGAATCAGTAGCAATAGTAATAGCTACATACTTTATTATTATTATTTTACTAAATAATAGCCAGCATATCTAGTATTTTATATAGTATCTCATTCATGCCAGAATAACATTGCCAGAATCCACCACTTGTCTATCAGCCTTCTGGTTAGCAGTCAAATGCCTTAAGCACTATGCCACTAGAGCTCCTATATATATCTATAGATAGATAGATAGATAGATGTATATACACATTATACATATACATATTAATTCTACAAGGAACAAAGTATATATATTACATTCTTTGAATAAATAATATAAGCATAAAATATTATTTAAATCCTCCGGACTTTGTGGAGAGAGTGAAGCCTACCATTCCTTGAGGATTTTGTGAAGATTTGAGCAAGACTATCACCGCCTTGGGTGGGGAAGCAGAGAATGCAAGAGGTAATATTCATGCTGTTGTAAAGAGACTAGATAGGAATACAGCTGTTCTGTCCAAGGAGCGAGGAGTTCTGGAAGCAGAGGTGACAATATCTTCAGGAGAAAAACAATTTGCTTCTGAGAACCTTTAAGTCTTGGTTATTTTCACTCATATAGGGCATGACTGGGGAGCTCTGGTAGAATAATGCCTAAGGCACTTGACTGCTAACCAGAAGGCTGGCACTCCTCAGAAGGAAGATTGGGCAATCTATTTCCGTAGTGTACTGCCTCAGAAATCCAAGATGGGGTCGCTATGAGTTGGGTCCAACTTGACGGCACAAAACAACAACAACAGGGTATGACTGAAATCTAGAATATCGTAAAAAAATCTGGTTTAAATTCTACAATTTAGAGACAAATAGGTATGTTTCCCACAGGTATTGTCTTTAGTGCTTTAACTACATGAAGGTTGACTTCAGAAACAAAAGCATAGTGTTGAAGAAGTTTGTAGTGAGTGTGTTTCTTTACATTTCCTTTCTGCCTTCTTTACTGTCTGTCTTTAAACAAGAAAATGATGGTAGTCACAGCAGTAACAGAATCAGTAGCAATAGTAATAGCTACATACTTTATTATTATTATTTTACTAAATAATAGGCAACGTATCTGGTATTTTATATATTATCTCATTCATGCCAGAATAACATTGCCAGAATCTACCACTTGTCTATCAGATTGTCATACTGTCATGGCTTTCATGTTGCTGTGATACAGGAAGCTATGCCTTTGGTATTTCAAATACCAGCCAGGTAACCCATGGTGGATGGATAGGCTTCAGTGGAGTTTCCAGACTAGGACAGACTGGGAAGAAGGACCCAGCAATTTACTTCTGAAATATGAGGCCAGTGAAAATCTTATGGATAACAGCAGAACATTGTCTGATATTGTGCTCAGAGATGAGCCCATCAGGTTGGAAGGAAATCAAAAGATGACTGGGGAAGAGCTGTCTCCTCAAAGTAGAATCAACTTCATGATGTGGATGGAGTAAAGCTTTTAGGACCTTCATTTGAGGATGTGGCAGGATTTAAAATGAGAAGAAACAGCTGCAAACATCCATTAATAATCAAACATGAATGCAAGAAGTCTGGATCTAGGTAAATTGGAAGTGATCAAAAATAAAAGGGAACATTTGAAGATCGATATCCCAGGCATTAATGAGCAAAAGTGGACTGGTATTGGCCATTTTGAATTAGACAACCATAGGGTCTATTGTGCTGAAAGTGACAAATTAAAGAATTGTATCACATTCATTGTCAAAAGTATGATTTCAAGATATTTCCTGAAACACTGTACTATCAGCAATAGGATAATATCCACACACTTTCAAGGAAAAACTAGATAATACGATTATTATTCAAATTTATGCACCAATCACTAATGCCAATGATGAAGAAATGGAAGACTTTTACCACCTTCTGCAGTCTGAAATTGATCAAACACATAATCAAGATGCGTTGACCATTATTGGTGCCTGGACCATTATTGGTGAAAAATGGAAACAAAATATGACCTTGATAATAGAAACAACTTGGTAGATCACATGATAGAATTTTGCAAAACAAATTATTTACTCGTTGCAAACTCCTTTATCCAATAACATAAATAGAAACAATATATGTGGACCTAGCCAGACAGAATGCACAGGAATTAAATCGACTACATCTGTGGAAAGAGATGATGGAGAAGCTGAATGTCATCAATCAGAACAATGCCAGGGGCAACTATGGAACAGACAATCAATTGCTCGTATGCAAGTTCAAGTTGAAGCTGAAGAAAATTAAAACAAGTTCATGAGATCCAAAGTATATCCAGAGACCTTGAGTATATCCCACCTGAACTTAGAGTCCATCCCAAGAACAGATTTGACCCATGGAACACTAATGACCAGACAAGTTGTGGGATGACATCAGAAACATCATACATGGTCAAAGAAAAACTTTATTAACAAGACAGGAAAGAAAGAAAAGACCAAAATGGATGTCAGAAGAGACTCTGAAATTTGCTCTTGAATATAGAGTAACTAAAGGGAACAGAAGAAAAGATCAAGTAAGAGAGTTGAGCAGATTTCAAAGGATGGCTCAAGAAGACAGAGTGAAGTATTATAATGAAATGTGCAAAGACCTGGAGTTACAAAACCAAAAGGGAAGAACATTCTCAACATTTCTAAAGCTGAAATAATGGAACAAAAAAATTATGGCTTGAGTTGCAATATTGAAGGATTCCTTGGACAAAATACTGAATGATGCACGAAGCATCAAAAGAAGATGAAAGAAATACAGAGTCACTGTACCGAAAAGAATTTGTCAACATTCAACCGTTTCAGGAGGTTGTTGTTGTTATTTGCCCTTGAGTGGGAACCCGACTCATACCAACCCCTCGCTGAGTTTCCAAGGTGTTATCACTATGGAAATAGATTGCCCAACTTCCCTTCCGAGGAGCCCCTGGTGGGTTTGAACCACCAGCCTTCTGGTTAGCAGTCAGGTGCCTCATGGACAATGCTAACAGGTAGCATATGATAAGGATTAATAGTGTTAAAGGAAGAAGTCCAAGCTGCACTGGAGCATTAGATAAAAACAAGGCTCCAGGAATTGACAGAATATCAATTGAGACATTTTAACAAATGAATGCAACCCTGGAAGTGTTCACTTTTTTATGCCAAAAAATTTGGAAGACAACTACCTGGCCAAGCACCTGGAAGAGATCCATATATGTACTCATTATAAAGAAAGGTGATCTAAAGGAAAAAAAGTATCAAACTATATTTTTAACATCACACAAAATT